CAGCCGAGCCCTTAAACGTTGCACCACCAGGGCTCATTCTGCCAAAACTACTTGCCTGCAATTATTTACTGCTATTCCAGGAGCTTCCATTTCTTCTGTTAACAAAACACTGAGTGGTACTGACAACCGTGGACAGGTGCTGTTCTCTGCAATGTCTAGGGACTACTGTTGTCACCAGCTGAGCTGTGTGTTTGTTTACTCAAGTCAATCATGCTTGTTCCTAAAACCTGTTTTGTAGCAACCAAACTTGTTACCGAATTATACAATTAGATAGTAAACTAAAACAGGAGAGCAGAAAGCTATTGTTTTAATGAAAACTAAATCAAGTTGAACGCTTTGGAAAGACAAAGACGAACTGTTTAAGAAAACATTGCCAAATAAGATATGAGAAAAACAATGATAAAAATCGGGGAGATAAAGATAAAAATCTGTAAGGATTATACACTTGGATTGATTTCCAAGTGTCTAAGTTCCCCAAAAGTCTTAAAACAAACTAAAACAAAAAACTGTAGATGATGCTTACGTAAACAAGACCTGTAGTGGTTCAATTTAAAGAGCCCTGGTGGCACGATGGTTAAGCACTAGGCTGCTAACCAAAAGGTCAGTGGTTGGAACCTATCAGCCACCAGAAAAGACCTGATGATTGGATCCTGTAAAGATTACAGCCTAGGAAACCCTATGGGACAGTTCTGCTCTGTCCTACAGGGTTGCTATGAGTTGGAATCGACTTGATGGCACACAATAACAGTGGATCTAATTAGATAACACATTGCTTAGCAAAAATCACAGACTCAACATATGTGTGGACATGTATCAGAAGGCTGCAGATGCCCAGGGACAGCAGTAAAAAAGAAAAGTTGCAGATGACAGTTTTGGAGCCTTGGAGAGATAAAGGGGGACAAGAAAGAAGCAGAGAGAGTGAAGAGAACACCAGCACCTCTTGGTCTTGCTATAGTTTACAGGGTGATTCTGAAAGAGGAGGTGTATATAGGAAAGAGAGGGAGAACCACCTGTTCTAACTACACAGCTTCCTCTGGAGAATCCCTGAGGTTACTGATCACAGTAACAGCTAACATTTACTGAATATTTACCATGTTTTATCTCACTGAATCCTCAAACGCATCCTGTAATGGAGGTTTTGTAATCTCCTTGTTTTCAGACGAAGAAAAATCAGCTCCTCAAGGTCTCACAATTATTGCCTGGAGGAATCAGGGCCAGAACACTGGTGGGGTGTCTTTAGAGCCTGTGTTATCCCTAACCACAATGTTGTAATGTTCCCTAAAAACTTAATAATGATAATACTGGTTACTATTTATTAAGATGTTTGTTGTTATTGTTAGTTGCCATTGAGTTGATTCCAACTCATGGTGACCCCAGGTTACTACAATATACAACATCCTTTATGTAAACAACTTACATGCATCACCTCATTCACTCCTCATCCAATCCTATTTTAGAGATGAGAACCCTGAGGCCCAAACCCAAACCAAACCCGATGCTGTCAATTCCGACTCGCAGCGACTACAGGACAGAGGAGAACTGTCCCATAGGGTTTCCAAGGAGTGGCTGGTAGATTCCAACTGCCGACCTCTTGGTTAACAGCCAAGCCCTTAACCACTGCACCACCAGGGCTCCAACCTGAGGCCCAGAGAGGTTAATTAACTCACCCAGGATCAAACAACTTGCTAGTGGCAGGGCCTGGGTGCTAACCTAGGCCATTCGACTCCAGAACCTGAGTTCTTCTTACACACTGTACTCTACTGGTGGGTATTAATAATAACAGCTAACATTTATGACGCATTCCTAAATGCTGGACACCGTACTAAGCACTTTAAAAGGATTAGCTCATTGAACAAAATCATTCTATGTATGCAAATATATGCAGAAGCAAATGTAAATCTATGGTTACGTAGACAATACTGGGACACAAAGACGAAACGAGGCTCAGAGAGGGTTAGGGAATCCACTCAAGTTAAGCGTGGCTAGGTAAGCCCTCCAGAGCCCATAACTTAACTACTGTTTTATCCCGTCTCTTCACTCCTGCCAGGGGCATCACTGGGTGCAGAGGAAGACTTAAAAAAGAAAAGAGGGCGAGCCCCAGCTTCTCAACTTCCATAGAATGTTCACTAACCGGGCTACCAGGAGCCTACTTACTATCCCCAATTTGCAGGTGGGAACACTGAGGCCTGGGAACATGAATGCACGAGTTGGGAGACAAGGGGGAGAACACAGACTCCCCTCAATGTACGCGCCGCAACCATCCCGAAGCAGAGGTGAACTAAGGGCGGGGTAGGGGCGGGCGCGTCGCCCCTTTGAGGAAGAGGAGGGGGTGTGCAGGCCCAGCCCGGCAACTCCGAAAAGCGAACTCAGGCTGCAGGCCTCTCCGCTCACTCTCGACTCTCCCGCCTCGCCCCAGTCCTGCCCGCGGGCCGTTGCAGGCCCCAGCCAACTGCACAGCCACTCTCCCCACATCCCGAGACCCCCTTACCCGCTGGTCCGGCTCTCGCGGTCTCAGCTCTCCTTTAGAAAAATGGAGGCCCGAATCCTGCCCGATCAATCGATCGCTCGGCGCGCACGCTCTCCGCGCATGCGCACAAAGCGCCGCGCCGAGCGCTGCGCTATCAATCGGCCCCACTCTATCTCCTGCCTTCCTCGCCATCTTACTTACTGGCACGTTCCAGAGGTTCGTTCACCTCCCCAGGCTTTATTTCATATGCGGCAGCCCTGACGCCAGGGAGCTGTTGTCCCCCGGACAAGTGGTCGATCCTGGAAAGCACTGCGGACGCTAGAACGGCCACGGGTCTGCCAGGCCGTTGGCGCCACCACTTCCGGGACTGTACGGAGCGAGTGCGCCTGCGCATCATCTCAGCCTTGTCATGTGACTCAAGGTCCGGTCCTCTGTTAACCAATCAGAAGGCAGTCTCTCTTCAACGCAGGCCAATCAGCTTTCGGGTTAGAGGGTTTAACTAGTATTTAAAAAGAAGAGGCTTTGCCTCCTAACGGCTACGATCTTGGGTGGATTGGCGGCGGCAGGTGACCTGTGTGTGGCGGGCAAGGGTGAGGCCTGGGACGAGGGGCCTGATCGGAGGCAGCCTTAGAGCGGGTGGCGGGACTGGAGGCCCTAGGGCCGAGAGGAAGGGTCAGCGAGGGTCGCCCTCCTTGCCTGCCCACAGCGCCCGCCTGGGCTCTCCAGGCGCGTTTCCATCTGCCGGTGGGCACCGAGGCGCCCTGGAAATGCCCGGCGTTATTCCCGCATAGGCGGATGGGGTTGTTGAGTGGTTCTGGGGTGCTTCTGATGGGATTCTCGTATTCAGTGAGCAGCAGAGTTAAGAAAAATACGGAGATGTCTCTGCCGTCTTGGAGTTTACTTTCTATCTGGGGTCGGGAAACAACGAACTAACAAGATAACTTCCAACTGTGATGCATGTTCTGATGCAAGTGGAACAGTTATATGGCATAATGGGGGCTGCTTTAGATATACTTGGCGGCTTACGAAAGGTTTGCGGCTGAAAAAAAGATTGGGGGTTGGAACCCACCTAGCTGCTCTGCAGGAGAAAGGCCTGGCAATCTGCTCCTGTAAAGATTACAGCCAAGAAAGTCCAATGGGACAGTTCTACTGTGTCCCATGGGGTCGCTACGTCGGAATCGACTAAATGGCATCCAACAACAGCTTTAGATAAAGGGTCCTGTGTAGCGCAAACCCTATGGAGCAATTCTACTCTGCTCACATGGGGTCCTCGTGAGTAGGATTTGACGGGAGGGCAACTAACAACAACTTTCGGTAGACTAGCCTGGGAAGGGGCTTATCCTGGCTGGATGAGTGAATGGACAAAGAAATGAATGATAACTTCCTGCAGAGGCCTTCCCAGGCCATTGTTTCTCAAACCTTGGCCAACCTATATGAGATTATTGGGGTCCTTGTTAAAAATGTACGAAGCCCTGGTGGTGCAGTGATTAAGCTCTCGGCTGCTAACTAAAAGGTTGGCAGTTCGAACCCACCAGCCACTCCACGGGAGAAAGATGTGGCAGTCTGTTTCCATAAAGATTACAGCCTTGGAAACCCTATGGGGCAGTTCTACTCTGCCTGTGGGGTCGCTGTGAGTCAGAATCAACTTTACGGCAACAGGTTTGTTAAAGAGGTAGACCCTTGCTGCAGACGCAGCGAATCAGAATCCCTTGGGGATAGGACCCAGGTGTCTGTGTTTTCAGCAAGCTCTCCAGGTGATTCTCATGTTTCATTGAGAACTAGTGGTCTATACCAGTGCATAGTATCATCTGGGGAGGATGTTAAAATTCAGGATCTGATTCAGTAGTCTGGGGTTGGGCCTGAGAGTCTCCATTTCTAACAAACGTCCAGGTGATGTAGCTACTGCTCTTGACTTCTGATTCAACCCCCTCCTTAGCCTTCCTTTTTCCTTAAATGCTTTTCATCAGTGTACTCAGTTTCTCTCCACTCATTTTCATCTCTGCAGACATTCACAGGTCTCCTGTGCTGAGGGAGGAAAAAAGAAGTCCCGATCCTCAACCCACAGTGCTGTTAAAGCTACCTCTTTTCCTAGTTAAACTGTAGGAGCTCGTGAAGGTCATCTGGTCACCGGCTCCTGCATCTAGCTCTAGATGAGAATCACCTGAGGAGCAGGCTCCCTGGGCCACTTCCCAGAATTTCTGAATCAGAATCTTATCCATTCTGCTTATTCATTCATCTTCCTGAGAAGGAAAAGAAAGAATAAGGAAGAATAAATCATTGGTCAGAAGACTGTTGAATAACTGGCCTGAGGCCTACGTGGTCTCCTTAGTCACCTACTGTAATTGTTAGGGAAAGTGAAACCTTAGAGCATGTCTAGAAATTAGTGTTTGTGTAACACAAGCATATATTTCCTGTTCCTTTTTTTAGTTTATTGTTTTTTACTAAACACTGTTCTATGTAAGAATCTGGGCTCCTTGGTCCTCTTCATCATGAAATTTGCGTATTTATAAAACTAACATAAGAGCATTTGGATGTGCTTTCTGATTGGATTCTCATGTTCACTGAGCAGCTGGGTAAGACAAATACAGAAAGGTTTCTGCTGTCTTAATAGGTGATTGTGCCTGACTCATGGTATGGGCTTGCTGTGAACTTTTTATTGATATACAGGCAGTCCCGGGGTTACGAACAGATCCATTCCTTAGTGTGTCTTTAAGAATTTGTAGGTAAGTTGGAATAGGTATAGGGTTCTTATTTAGCTTTACTTAAGTGCAAGAAAAGCCTTGAATCCTTTTCAGTGAATTAAAAGCTGTACGTGCAGCAAGTGAAGGTGATTGTGATGAATTTGTTGCTAGTAGGCGGTTGGTTCAATTGTTTCACCAAACCTGTTGTCATCCAGTCGATTCCGACTCATAGCAACCCTATAGGACAGAATAGAACTGCCTCATAGAGTTCCCAAGGAGCAGCTGGTGGATTTGAACTGCTGACCTTTTGGTCAGCAGCCTAGCTCTAAACCACTGTGCCACCAGGGCTCCTCAGTCGTTTCAAAGTGAGGGCAAATTTCCGTAACATTAAAGGGCAAGTCCAGTTGTCCGTAAGTTGGACGTTGGTAACCAGGGACTTACTGTGCTTTGTGGATTAATTCTTTGAGTGCATACTATGTGCTAGGTGCTGTACTAGGTTCTGGGATGGAACAGTGAGCAAACTAGGACTGAGCCCTTGCTCTCATGGAGCTTCCTTTTTGGTGGGGAGAGGCGCACAGTAAATGCACACATAACGTTCACATAGGATGCTAAGGGATGTGAAGAAAAATAAGGGAGAGATGGTCCTGGAAAGGCACACTCGAGCAGAGACCCGAATGAAATGGAGAGGCGAGCCACACATCTGAGGAAAGAGCCTAGTAGGTAGACGGAAGGCCCCGTGGCAGGGCACTTGTTGGAGGAAAGAAGGGACCCCTGTGTGGCTGGTGTGCAGTGGACAAGGAGAGGTGGTCAGGCTCCATGTTCTGTGGGACGTCATAGGCCTGTCCCTCTGTAGGTCAGAGGCTTCTGGAGAAAGGACTGACATATCTTACTGGTCAGTGGGGTCGTTGGCTACAGTGTTGAGAGTGACCACAGCTGGGCGAGGTGCAAACAGAGAAACAGAGCAGGGGAGAGAGTTGTTTGACCAGGCAGTGGTGGTAGAGGTGGTGAGCAGTGGTTTCGAAGGTAGAACCTTGACGATATGCTGGTGGCTTACATGCGGGGCTTGAGGGAAAGGACCCAGCAAGGCTTCTGGCCTGAGCAACTGGCAGGACAGATTTGTCATTGCCTGAGATAGCGACTTCTCTGTGACAACAGGTTTGGGGAGGTGTAGGGGTGGAGAGGGACTGAGACTTCAGTTTGGGACATGTTAGAATTGAGATGCCTCTGAGATAACCAGGCGGAGATGTTGCGTAAGTGGTAGGAAGTTTGAGTCTGGAGTTTAGGGAAGGGGTGTGAGCTGGAAAAGGAAATTTGGGAGTCCTGAATCTATGGGGAATAGACGAGCTCACACAGGAAGTGAGTGCAGACAGAAAGGAGAGGTGGTTTACCTAGGGAGTGAGTATACAGAAAGGAGAAGTGGTTTACCTAGGGAGTGAGTGTAGACAGAAAAGAAGTGGTTCACCTAGGGAGTGAGTGTAGACAGGAGAGATGGTTCACTTAGGGAGTGAGTGTAGACAGAAAGGAGAAGTGGTTCACTTAGGGAGTGAGTGTAGACAGGAGAGGTGGTTCACCTAGGGAGTGAGTGTAGACAGAAAGGAGAAGTGGATCACCTAGGGAGTGAGTGTAGACAGAAAGGAGAAGTGGTTCTGGATTGAACTCAGGGAGGGGAGAAGAAGTTTTGTTTTTCATGTGTTAGACTGAGCTGCCTGGCAGAGCTTTTGGTGGTAGTTGGAGATGAGTCTGGTGGTCCGAGGAGAGGTTAGGGCCAGAGATGTAAATTTGAGTTATCCTAACAAAGATGGTGAGAGCCAAGGCATGGGATGAGGGTAGCTAAGAGGAAAAGAGGAGGGTCCAAGGACTTATTCCTGGGTCCCCCCAGACACTGTAGGGTTGAGAGAAACGTGGCCAGTGCAGCACAAGAGGATGCGATGGGACAGCTGTTGAGGTAGGAGACACACCTGGAAGCTAAGCCAAGGAAGGGCTTCAAGCGGTGGTGATCCGCCTTGTGAAATGCTGCTGCCGACAGCAGATGATTGACTGTGGGAGTTGGCATCCACAGGGTCCCATCATGGTGGGGATGAAAGCCTGAGGGGAGCGGGCTCAAGGGGAATGAGAGAACTTGGAGAGAGGAGGGGTGCGGAGGGCTCCCTGGAGCTTTGCCGGAGAGAAGAGGGGTGTAGAGTACTCACTGGACCTTTGTCGGAGAGAGGAGGAGAGAGCTAGGCCATAGCTTGAGGCAGTTATGGGGCAAGGAGGAGGTTTTTTAAAGGCAGCAGTTATTACAGCGGGCTCGTACCAAGGCGGAAGTGATCCACAGAGCAGAAGTGATGGAGGAGAAAGACCGTCAGCTCAGGAGTGCAGTCTGAGCGTGCGTGCAGGGGTGGGACGTGGTGTCCAAGGGGAGAGGTGGCCTTGCATACAAGCCACACATGTACATCATCTGTGTCAGATGACAGCACTTCCCTGATCAGCTTCATCTGGGCAGAGAAAGAAATGATACAATTCTGTGTCTCGCTGGGGCTTTTCCTCAGGAAGTTAGAACTCCAAGCTGATAGGGCAGCACTTCGCAGCAGGTAGATTCGTGTAAACTAAAGATGGTTCTTTTTTTTTCCTTTCAGGCATCATGGATAAATCTAAAGAAAACTGCATTTCAGGACCCGTTAAGGTGATTGAGTAATATAATAGCAATCATGTCTCAAGTGGAGATTGCTCCCCTATGTGGAATTCTTTTCCTTTGGATTGTAACTGTAGTTTCCTGGGCTACACTCCCAGATATCAATGGCTGCTTTTCTCAGCATTCAGTGACGTCTTGTCGATTCCCTCAGTGTCTCTCTATTTTGTTCTCCTTGTCTGATAGTTAGCAGTGTCCTCCATCGTTTGCAGGATAATACGAAGGTTCCTGACACACAAAAAAACCAAACCCATTGCCGTCAGGTCGATACCGACTCAGCGACCCTGTAGGACAGAGTAGAACTGCCCCATAGAGTTTTCAAGGCTGTAAATCTTTATGGAAGCAGACTGCCACATCTTTCTCCCAAGGAGCAGCTGGCAGGTTCGAACCGCCAACCTTTCTGTTGGCAGACGAGCACTTAACCATTGCACCACCAGCTCTCCTTATGTACGTGATACCAAAAAAAAAACCAAAGCCCTTGCCGTCAAGTCGATCCTGACTTATAGCGAAACTATAGGACAGAGTAGAACTGCCTCATAGAGTTTCCAAGGAGCAGCTGGTGGATTTAAACTGCTGACCTTTTGGTTAGCAGCTGAGCTCTTAACCACTGCGCCACCAGGGCTCCTTATGTGCAGCTAGACTGATTTGTGCTCAGTTGGTTGCCTGTACTCTCTTGCTTGCCAGAGGTTAATTTCTTTGGCAGGTTGTTCAGGTCATAATTCAGGGAGCGGTAAGTGCCCAGGAGAGTGAAGTCGCATTTTAGTCCGCGTTTCCTGGGAACCCACTTTGACATGCAGGGATTATAGTGGTGAAAAGCACAGGGTCCTTGACTTTGAAGAACTTGGAGCCACTTTGTGGAGGTGCGTGAGCTAGTACCATGCCTTGTGTTAATATACTTAGGGCCTGAGTACTCCCGAGGACAGGTACTTGGTTCAGATCTGGATGGGTGAAATCCAGGAAGGCTTCACTGAGGAAACCTCCTATGAAAGACCCCAACACTTAGCATTTCATGAGTGTTTGTTGGGTACTGGGCTGGATAAGTCTAATACAAAAGATTCCTTAATAGAAATAATCCCCAGATTTGTTTTCTTCTTAGAACCCAGAAAACCAAAGCCGTTGCCGTCAGGTCAATTCCGATCATAGTGACCTTATAGGACAGTAGAATTGCTCCACAGGGTTTCCAAAGAGCAGCTGGTGTATTCGAACTGCCGACCTTTTTGGTTAGTAGCCGAGCTCTAAACCACTGCGCCACCAGGGCTCTTCTTAGAAATCAGCATAAAAAGATAAATATTTTACCTTTTTTTATTTTTGTGGGGGCTTGTTTTTAGAAGTCTCGATCTTCAGATACATAGGTGCTCACCTTT